ATTTTAAGTGAATTTCTTTCTATTGTGTGAGAATTTCTTTATAACATAGGAAATGATGATACCAAATGCATAAAATAAATACATGAGAAAATATTTCTTCCACCCTGACTCTATTTATAATAATCACTGAAGTTGCATTTTTTTTCAAATAACATAAAAATGTCTAATGACATGCCTCCTTCAATTTAATACTCTACAAAAGTAAATTAAGATAAAGAAGCAGTAATTGAAAACACACCGTGGTTATGAAACACTTCTGAAGCATTGAGACAAACTAAAGTTATCTAACTAAATACCAATTTGAGATAAAATTCAAGCATTTTTTTATTTAAGATCTATCACTGGGAACAGACATCTAACATTTTCCTTTCAGGTCTGTTCTTGGAATGCCCGTACTCTTTATGCACTCTGCGCTCAGTAAAACATAAACTAGATCTCTGGTAAAAGAGGCAGTAGAATAATGCACACTCTCAGTTTACCTGTTACTCCACGTATAATACATTAAATCAAAAACTTTGTCTAGAGTTGCTATTCATGTGGTTCTCTTCCCTGCTCCTAGCAATTTTTTGTCAGGACCACTTACCACACTTGATGGTTCAAAGATTGTTGTTCTGGCTTTCTCTTATCATGGAGCAGCTTGGGCTGGAACCCAAACTTAAAGCCCACCCAGTCCCAACCCCGGCCATGGGCAGGGACACCTCCCACCAGCCCAGGTTGCCCAAAGCCCCATCCAGCCTGGCCTTGGGCACCTCCAGGGATGGGGCATCCACAGCTTCTCTACTTCACATCCTTCTTCTTTAACAGTCATTGGGTACGGGGTATGAGTCAATTCTAATTTTCCTATTAGTCAGTTATTGCGTATCTCTCTTTTTATTTTTTTTCTCCACATAAGTGCCCAGCAAAACAAAACCCAACCCCCAAGTTTAATTTTGCATTTTGAATTGCAGGATTGTTCTCTCTGAATTAGGAAAAGGAGAAGGTAATTACGGAGTCAGATTCTTTTCTCCTTTGGGTGTAAGACGAATGAATTCAGTGATATCACAGCAGTATGTGTGAAGTGGGAGTGGGATTTGGCTGTTGTAAAGCTGGAAGGTTTTAAGACTGAAGCTGATTGTCCTTAGCTGTATGGTTGAGGTGTTTTGTTTGAACAGTGGGGAAGGGAATGGTAAGTTAGTGCATTCTGTACCTTTTAATGCTACATTGAAACTTTGCTAAAAAAATGCTTCATTCTTTTCTTTTAAAAGACTTTAATGGCAGTTGGTGACTAAAACACTTTTCTGCAGAGGAAACAAACGTGTCTAAAATATTCAGCTATCAAAGAGTCCTGATGCCTAGCACATACATTGATGTTCAGAAGGAACTATTGTGTGTTTTGCAGTGTGATGTACATAATGGTTAATGGAGCAGAAAAATGCTTTCTAATGCCCAGGTAAATTATGTATCGTATTGAGTATAGTATTTCTTATAAATTTAAAAAAAAAAAGAGAAAAGAGGAGATGTTGAAGCATGTGCACGGTGGGACATAGTGTCTGCATAGTGTCTGTCTGTTCGGTTCAAAAATACACTTAGAAAAATCCCTCCCTGTCATACTGAATTCTACTTTCACAATGCGTACTGATGTGAAATAATTATGTATAATGTGCATGTGTGTATTTATGTAATGACAGAGGAAGAGTTCTACTGATCTAGTATGTATCTGGATGTATACATTTTTAATCTAATATGCTTATAAATCATTGTAGTGATTCTTATTCCCCTGGGACTAATGAAGCAAACAGAACTTGTGACCAAGTAGCAGCGTCTTGCAACCCATAAAAATTGTTGCCATCCATCTTGAAATTAGGTATTTGTGATCTACTTGCCTTTCTATTTCCCTAGTGTGTGATTCACTAGTTTGTTAAGGTGTGGCTCTTGAATATTGTAATGGGTACTGGCACTGTCCTCCTCTTTTTGTATTTTTAGCATGGGCTAACCTCATTTTACAGTGTGAAATCGGATGGGACTGCGTTTGAAGCTAGAAGAACACAGCTATCAGCCAATGCTTTAGGGATAGAGGCTCTGTGGAAACTGGTGGATGTTGCTTGAGCTTCCACGATGTATTTGCTGGAATTAGCATTTTTAGAGTCCTGTACAATTGTGCTTGCCTTAGGCTGAGTGGTGTGAAGTGTAATTGAACTAATGACTCATTCTGATGAGATCACTTTTAAGCATGTAGTGGGCTTCTTATTGTACAATACTATGGCATGTATTTGCCCTTTTTCCTCCAGTGTTGCTGACTATTTTTTGCATTCTGTTTTAGTCTTTTGTCTGTCAAGCACCCACGGCACACCTTCATATCCCTCCTAAAATCCTCTCCTGTATCTGTAGGACATACAGTGTTCCACCACCAGTTAATCTTTATTTTGTCTTGTTTGTGTTAAATCTGTCGTCTTTGTGGCACAGATCATCTATGCTTTTGTTTTCTTATGAATCCTGCATGCATATAGTATTGCACATATTCTTACACCCTGCTTCATGCAGAATTTCTTCTGCAGACCTCAGAGTGCACTCTAACACTGTACAAGTCCTTTTTCTTTTCCTTATTTAATGCAAGATGAAGAACAGTAAATGTACAAATGAACTGGCTTACGTTCCTACAGCCAATCATTGGCTGATCGACATAACCTTTAAAACCTGACTTAATCTCTTGCCCTAATTCCTAGGCTGTATTTTCTCTTTGTTATGAAGTACTGCTTCATTGCATCTGTATTTCTAGTGAATGAGCTTTTAACACTAAGTATGTAATACTTGAGGTTTTATTTAGTTTTTAAAAGTAAAGCCATATTGTCGAGAAACCTTTCAAGGCTGCAAGCTTTTCTTAAACGATTATTTCAGATAAGGACGTGAGTAATGACAAGCATATTCATGTGCAGTGGTCATTACATCTTTTTTCTTCTTTTTAAATAAATGAATAGTATTTTAAATTCATTTAAGAATGTTTTATTGGAAGGTAAGTCATCAGTTAAATCATATTATGCCATTAATCTTAGAGATCCCACTTTCTCCTCCTTCTAATGCTCAGAATACTGAACATAGTTACTCAGAGAAAGGAAGAATTGGTACAAAAGAGGGGAAAAAAAGTTCCTTCTCAGGTTTTTTGGGTTCACTTCTTTTCAGAAAAGCTTACTCCTTCAAGAATATTTTTAAAGTGGTAAATTTGGGACATATAGGATTTAAAAAACAAAACCTTCATGTACATAACTGTTAAGTTTATGTCTGAATAAGATGAAGGATTTCTGTTCTTGAAGGAAACAAGGGGTAGCTTGCATGAAATTCACACTAATTCATACTGTTTGTAAGTGGGTACAGCTGAATGCAGGTATAGTTGGGTCCATTTTTAGAACAAAACCAATGAAGTTATGGCTGAATGAATATTGCACAATAATTGTTGGTAAGGAATTATTATCAGTTAGAAAATAAAACTTACAGTCAGAACTGGGCTAATTTGAAGAGGCTTCTGTTCTGGTAAACTAAGCCATGAGCTTAAGTAAACTAAGGTACATTAAAATTATTATTTTTTTTAACCCATAAACCAGTGTTGGCAATACAGATATGATTTAAAAATGTGATGGAAAATAACTTTTTGCTCCCTTAACACCACACTTATTTTTTTTCCCCTAGGCAACTTTAGAAAAATGCTTCGGAAATACTCACTTTTTATCTAATATTTTAGTCAAAGTAACTCTCATATTCAAGGATGTGTTCTGTGTTTGTTTGTTTGTTTCTGTTTTTAATAGAAACCAATACTTATTGAGAATTAGCCTTTTAATTATAGCAGTAGCTAGTGACACACTGAGCAGTTTATATAACCAGACAAGTGAAATCATTCTAATTGATTTTGTAGCTTTGTGGGTCCTTTTCCCCACCCCCTGCCCTATTCTCCCTGCAACTGCTACCCAAGTCAATGAATGTAGCCACTGTTCATTGAAATAATTAATTTTTATGCATGGGATAGTGCAAAAGGCTCACAAAAAAATTAGGGGGAGATGAATATCTCAATTCTTGCTTGCAGTGCTGTGGATGATAATGACTTCTTAAGGCTTCCTGATTCTTCACCAAAAGTGTAAGATGAAATGGAAAAAGAAGGGATGGAGTGATGATGTATCAGAACTGTCCAGAAAATAGAGAAATAGGGTAGCTAGCAGTCATGATGGTTGGCTTGTGACAAAGCAGTTGCATGATCAGAACTGATCATCACTGGAGGAAAGGTGAATTCTAAATAATACAAAGGTTAACGAGGACAAGAAAATCATCTATGTTAGCTGTGGCGCTTGACAGCTGTATCTGTCTATGCAGATAGATGCTAGGAGTGAAAAATCTCTTTCCGGAAGATTCTCCAGCCTCCCCGTGGCTGGAGGTCCAGTCACAGAGCAGTGTGAAAATCTGGTTTGTTGGTTGGTTGCCTTTTAACGTCAGGCCCAAGGACTTTTACATCTGTGTTTTTGCCTTTCTGTAGTGTGTCTTTGCCTCTAGCCCCCTCCATCCCTCCTGTATAATTACTCAATATCGTGTACTTTCCAGATAGAAACTGCAGATCTGAGGCTGTGATCAACTGTTTCAGCACTCAAGACTTTTCCTTTTTTTTTTTTTGTGGAAGTATTCTCAGTTTTTGAACCAACCTGAGTATTTTTTCCCATAAAAATGAACCAGTTCTGAACCATTAATTGAAGAGCATAGCATAAATGGCTCTTTTTTTTTTTTTTTTTTTTAACATGTGCATGGTAATTGCTTGCTGGAGAAATTTGAAATAATTACCTATCTGAATACAAGATTAAAACACGTCCAAGTTGTAGCTGTGCAGCAATCAGAATATTTCTGGGCAATGCTGTTTATGAATTCTCAATTTAAAAATCCTATGTCATGCAAAATGTTGAATTTGTGCCTTAGAATATGAAGCATTCCCGAGTGGAATTCTTGTTTAAAAATTATTTTATATTTACAGAGAAACTCAGCCATACAAATGTTTTTAAAAGTTTGCACTTCATTAAGGCTATTTATTTTCTAAAAAAGAGGACTTGAATATTTTGGACAAATATACACGTGGTGTTACGCTAACAAACGGCCATGCAACAGATATCTTACATAGTGAAGAAATCGAATATACAAGACCTACTCTATTTAACATAGATACTGGAAAATGTACAGTCTAGCCAATAGTTTAAAAAAAAAAAAGTTTTTTTTTCTTATTTGGCAGTATTTTTCTACAATTTGTTCAAATATTCCTCCCGATGTGTTTTGGTGAGTACTGAAGTCTAGTCAGTGACAACCTGAGGTACTAAACATTTCTGCCTTACTTCGTTGTCTTCAAAGGTAATCTTTTTGTTCCTTTTAGGCTCTATCCATGAGTTGTGTATTACCGCGTTATTTGGCATGGGGTCCGCTTCCACTATTGAAACAACTCGTTTTTTCATCTTACTTTTCAGAACTTTCTGAAACTTTTGCCTGGTGAATGCATAAAGGAGAGGGTGAAATATAGTCGTCCCGTACGCCATCACTAGGAAACACAATCGCAACTTAACCAAAAGGTCACTTGGGCCCAAACACAAGATTGTGGTGTTTAAAACAGAGATGGGTGTCCAGCAGAGCAGGAAGGTTGAAATAATCAAGAGGGACATCCTGAAGACTCTCTTTTGCCGCTCTCGTCGCTCCCGGTGCCGTTTCACGGCTCGGCGCAGGGCGATGATGACCGACACAGAAGTCCTTACGCCAAAGACCACATTTCTCCCCGCGCTGCTCTGTGAGACGTCGGTCGTCTCGTGTTGAGTGGTCAAAGAGATAGTTTTTTTCTTCCGAGCTTTCTTCTTTTGTCCTGTGGTAAATCTCGTGCCAATTCGGATATTCAGAGCCTGGAGTATTTTGGTGTAGGTGATGAGCATTACTATAACGGTGAAGAAGAAGATTGGGATCTGCACGAGGAGGTGGTAGTACATCCCCAGCTCCGTGTGGTATTCGTTCGCACTGACGCACAAAAGCGTCTTGTTTTCCCAAGTGCTCACGCTTTGGAGGCTGAAAAAATTGACCTCAATGAAAGGAATCAGGAAGGAGAAGAGTGAGATGATCCAGATTGATGTCATTAATATCACAGCCCTTCCCATGGTCAGAATTCGATTGGCAGGCTTGACAGAGATATCGTATCGGTCCAGAGTGATAGCAAAGACATTGATTGCAGTTGAAACGCTTGCAAAAGAGACACAAGCCTCATGGAAGCAGCAGATTAGAGCAGTGTTACTCTCCAGTGAAAGCAGAAGGATAACTATAGTTAGAGGAATACATCCCACACAAATTATTACATCAAGTACATGAAGGTTCATTGTAATTATGTTACTGACAGAATTGATTAAGTTGGATTTCATACAGTAAAGTACCAGCACGGTGAGGTTGCTGCCAAGTCCCAAAACAATTTCTAACATCAAAAATCCAGTGAGAGAAACTTGAAAGCTTAATGCATATGACAGTGGTCGGTACATGTTGGTGTCGATGTCATCAATGGCATCTCGAACTGTAATGTTAGATTCAGACTGCATGTTGACCTCCAGAATGGGGGAGAAACACATTCTTTTGTTGCAGTTGTTTTTTTCTCCTGAAAGGTGAAATAAATATGGAACTGTTTGATTTCTTTCTTTTTTAACATTTTTTTTTGTTATTGTGGAAAAACGCTGGGAAAGCAGAAGGGAGGAAAAGCATCTACTCTTACCAAACTCTTAATTATTTACTGTATGTTTAGAGCTGTGCTTGGCATGGGCTTAAAAGCCAGGGAATCTACAATAAGGTTTTTCCTTTTAGAAGGAAAGCAGGACATTTTTTTTTCTTTAAAAAAAAAAAGAGGAAAAAAAAAAGTGAAAAGCTTCCACTTAGGGGAGACAAGGCTTTATTTATAGTGATGTGGCTTTTACAAAGGGCCCGCTTGTTGAATAAACTATGCTCGTGCATTGCCTTTGTATTGTGTGGAGGGCTATTTCAGAAGAATGCTGCTGAGTATTAACAAATTAGCACTTGAGATCAATTTAAAAAGGCTCTTGTGGAAACAGAAAGTGATAGGAGCATGGAACGCTTGCTTATGTGTCATAAAAAGAACACTTAAATTATTTTATGGCCTTTTAGCAGCCTCTTTCTTACGAAGACTTCGTAAGAGTGTTGTGGGCTGAGATACGAAGTTCTGCAATTAAGCAGATTTTTTATAGAGCTTGGAAACTTCTGCTCACTTTTCTCTTGTGTGCATCTACCTGTATGAAACTTATCACTGTAACGAGTTTATGTAACTGTGTGGAATTTCAAATGCAAATCTGACATAGATTTGGGGTAATGGAATTTATTCTAAAAATGGTACGTTTCCTTCTTCTGCTATGAATATTCAGTTTCTGCAAGAAATCAGTGCCTAGACGGAAAAGAAGTGTATTTAATTTTATTCCAGAATAGATTTAAAGGAATAGTTTTATAAAATAACATTAAATATTAAATTGTCTCATTTTTTTTTACATACTGAAATTAAATCCAGCAGATTTATATACACAGTGTGTTTATCCTAAGAGAAAGCGAGGTTCAAAAAAAGTAGCATTTAATGAATCTAGGAGATGCAGAGATATCTAAAAATCCAGGAATTTTTTATTTTGTGGCTGCATCTGCTTTGTTTTACACATGCTGATGGTTTGTAAACATAGCATCTGCATCTAATACCTGACATGTCCATTATTTATAGTGTCAGCCAGCTCTGGAGGTTGTAATGAGATGAATAAACAAAAGAGAGGTCATTCAATTTCTTGTTGTGATGCTTGAGGATTTTATAAGTAGCTTTAAATTTAAGAGGGGAAGTACTTGGCATGAAACTAAATTTAAACGTAGACCTTTGTTCCACTCTGAATACATTAAAAATGGATAGCACTAAGGTGAAGAAAAATGAGCTGTTTTTAAATGAAAGTATGAATTAAGCACACTTGGGATACAATATGCAAATGCATTTTATCTGCAGTTCTGAAAAGCCTCAATTGCACAATACTATTAATTGCAAATTGTATGATGAAAATTCTTGCTATGCTTCAGCAGTTACTTCACATTTGCCTCTTAAATACAAAAGATATAAATTAGAACGTATTAGTTTCAGGCGTGAAATACATTTCAAAAGCTTTGTTTAATTTCTAATTTAGGCAACCTCTAATAGGTTTATATTAAACCTCAGGAATATGATTTCCTCTGGGTATGTGGTCCTGGCTGTGACTGTATTTTCAAGGACCATTCTGAATACTTGAGCTTGATAAATTGAGTTCTCGTGTATTAGGAAGAGCCAGGAGGAAATCCAAAGCAGATCTCACTCAAAGCAAACAAACAAAAAAGATCTTAACTGTAGCATTATGCCACCTGAAATCTTGTGACAACAGAAAGCTTCCGATGTGCTATATCGGAGAGTTCAATCTAAATGCCCAGATTACGATCACCTCCTTGTTGCAGGGATCAATTTCAGTTAAACACAAGTCCAGGTGTCAAGGCAGAGGGGTAATTTACCCAACACGTTGCCTTTCTGAACCGTGCCTGTTCCCTTGTAAATGCAGAACAGAGGCCTGGGCGCATGCAACTTCTGACCTACCTGTTTTCTGTGCCTCAGGGGTCTTTCAGATCATTGTAGCAGCTTGTCATAAATTGGTGCATGGTGTCACTGCCAGGCATTTGACATGCACTGTCACCTCGGAACCGAGTGGTAGCTGGGCTCTTACTTCATTCCTTGCAGATTTTTTTTTTCCTTTTTTTGTTCCAGCAATTCAGCAGCAGCAAATTTTGATTACACATGGGGACTCCTCAGTTGCCTGAGATGCTTGTACAGACCAGCGCGTGTTCTGGGTGTCTGTTCTGAGTTTCAGGCCAGCAATAACAAACCTTCTTTTACGTGATGTTAATTTCTTTCCCCTGTTGCATTTTGTAGCAGCCTCTTTTTATTTTCCAGGTTTAAAAACCAAAAAATATCTGACTTCTGTGTTCAGAGTGTACGTAGGCATCCTTTAGTTAGAGTTGCGTGTTTCTTTCTGTAATATTCCTGCTCATTACTTTTGAGTGATGGCTTAGTCAAACAAGTTGCTGTACATCATAAAATCCAGTTCATGTGCTTTGCGAGTAACCATGAGATACCTAATTTGGTTTATTTTCATTTAAGGAGAATACATAGCAGATCATAAAACTGAGAGAAAAATATCCATTAGTCATTATGACAAATAAGATATTTAATGAGCGGTTTAGAAAAAGCCTGGTTAAACCCTTGTGCAGCTTGCTGGTGAAGTATGCATATTCTCCTTGTGGGAATTCATGTTTCATTGTTTCTTCATGCATCGGTAGTTTCCACAATTCTGGTTTTAAATTATAAATCCCTCTTTAAGAGATGCTCACCATTTTAGGACTCAATCATTGCATCCTTCTTGCAAGGAAATGTGAGCAGATGTGTTAGTCTTCCACGTATGCAGTTGAAGTGTCGTGCACGTAAATGGTAATACAAGCGTGTTCCATTTTTTTGTTTGTTTGTTTCTAATTCCTTTATGTCTTAAGAATACAGTTTAGTGATGCATCCTGCTGCTCGGAGGTCACACAGCTGGAAGGGTACCCAGTCAACTGCATTCTTCGTATTGTCAGTTGGAAAACTGAATTAGTTGCTGCATGCCCTTGTGAAAGGAAGGAAAAAAAAAAGGTTAAAAGTAGGGCTTATCATTTCAAAATCAAGTAATGCAACAGTATCTTTTGTAGTATCACTTATATCATGAATAAAAGATATCTAAAACTGGATCTTACACATTCCATCAAAAATCAGTTAGTGTGTTCACTATTTTCTAGTAAAATCATGGCATTATTCTGTCAACTTACATGAATTCAGTTTTTTGGACAAGTCTCCTATTCTCCAAATAGTGCACGCTTCAGGAAACCCCGACTAGGAGCAGTAACTGCTGGATGTAGGGTGCCTGTGACTACAGCTAGAAAATGTAGTTTCATAGCGCTTGTGAGCAGCTAGTTGAGACAGACGACTCTCTTCTTCTAATAAGAAATTGAGCAGCCAGCGAGCTTTTATAGGAATTAGGTTTTTGTGTGATTTGCACACTGGTCAAATTTTCTCTCTTGATATAAATAGGTTGCAAATCCACGTTTGTAATACATGGCTCAACGTGGGGGGTAATGGAAGAAATAAGTTTTTTTTTTTTTAAATAAAAAAGCAACAGGAAAAAAAGGGGGCTTTTCACGAGCAAGTCAGAGATTAGTCATATTACTCGACCTTCAGAAAGCAAGAAGTATACACCAATTAACAGCCTGGCTGATTCTTCACAGAATAACTGCACAAAGCTGAAACCTATTTAACTGCCAATATTTGGAAATACTGCTGAGAGAGGAAAAAATATTCCTGCTTGCAGTTCGTGTCGTTCGTCTCCCCCCTCCCAGTACTGTAGTAACCCAAACTGTACTGTCTTCATGGTGTACGAGCAAAACAGGCTCTTAATATTCTGCAAGACTTTCATGCAGAATTGCATTTTTCTACCACTGTGTTTTTAATGGGTAGGGGAAAATAGCATCCAAATATTTCCTGGACTCAAATACAGCAAGATAACTAGCATTTAATCTAAGTCCAATCTGATGCTTCCTCTTTTTTTTTTTTTTTTCTTCTCCCTTTTTTATTAAATGTTGCTTATTCTGCATACCATAATAAGGAACAGAGCTTACCTCCACTAAAGGTTCGATAAATTCTCGATGCAGGTGAAGCAGTTCCAGCTTGGAGGGATTCATTTTGCTCACTTGTTAGCAGAGTAGAAGGGAAAGAGGGTAATGAGCATATCTTCGAAAAATGCCCTTAATGAAAATTTGTGCCTGTACTGTGCCATTGTCTCAGCATACTGCTAATGTACACAACTGGTTGAGTTCTGCTTTAGAGGCTGCTGCAGTCTCCCACTCTTCCCACTGTGGAATCAATAAGCAGCTGAAAATACATAATGAAAGTCATTTAACATACTGAAGGCTTCTCGTCTCCAGAGACACCGCCGGGATTCAGGCTTTCTAAAAAAGCAGAGCAGCGCTTCGGAGAGGAGAGGAGAGCTCGCGATGGGCAGCTTTTGCAGAATGACAGCCTACCTTGTCGCTTGCCTTCACTGCAGAGAGATGCAGTGCATTCACTAATTGTGATTGGTCAGCGATGTGGGGCTTCATATATGGGATTGAGCCCCCCCTCGCCCCCCCTCACCCCGATTTATATAAGGATTCTTTTCTAAAAGGACTAAATTTACAAATGATTTATGAATTCTGGAATACATTAAGGCTATGCCAGTTTTATTTTTACCTTTTTCACTCTTTTACTTTGTGTACACTGGGAGCCACATGACGCTGTAAAAGAAAAAAAAATCTGATTAAACGTTATTACTTACAAAGCTTGCACTGATCTATATTTGAATTTGCCTACTTTCCATTTGTGATTTTTTTTTCTTTTGTCCTAGTAACATCTCTAAAATAAAACTGTCTTGTCTTTTCTGCAAGCCATGCTGAATTTTACCCAGTGTGTTTATATTCCTGCCAGTGTTTAGGTCTCGTCTTGAATAAATGATACTCAGGACAAGTCAACACCCCCGTGAATATTAGGAAAATTTCTATCAGGATTCACAGAGATTATTCAGACCCTTAAGATGGGCTAATAATTCAGCTCATGAATCAGAAAAGAATCATTTTTATGAGCCACCACCACATACAATGTATCTATACTAGTGTAGATTGTAAATTTTGATGAAATGGGAACTTTAAACAGATTTTATATGTTCCACATGAATTTTGCTAGGGACTTCACAGGTTTTTGTAAGGTTGTGTCTTGCATTATGTTCTTGACCTTTGTGGGGGCTGGGGAGGGTCCTCACTTTCACTTTTTTGTTTTGTAACTTATTTCTGAATCTGTTTTATCAGTGTAAACAGTGCTCACAGCCACATCATGAGCAGTGAGGAAAGTGTAGTACAGTATCAGTTTTGATTATTACTAATGCAAAAATAATCCTTAGAAATACATTTACTATGCAAAGGAAAATAATTTTTAAAATCAGTTTGTTGAAGCAAGTAATATAAGGATATCTCTGAATAAAATGTTCTACTGGCAGTAGAACATCAGTAAAATTAACAAATTAACAAAGAAGTGGTGAGGGTTTGAATGTTTTCTGATTTCTCTTGATTTTAAAGATGCACTTTTTAAAGTTTGGTAAAGTATTAAATGTTAAAGCTTGGTTTAACATGGCAGTTTTGGTCAACTTTTGGTTGTGTCCTATGTTGTTAAGTTGCTATTGCAATTACACAGTGCAGTTGTGTAACTCAAATGCCCGCATTTTGTTTTTATTTATTTTAACTTCTTAAACAGCCATCCAATGTGCTATTTATATTTAGGTAACATCATACATATTTCTAAGTGGCTGCATATTTATTTAGCTTGCTTCCTATTCCACTTTTTCCACTTTTACCTTCAGTAAAGTGGAGTAAAAAGAAAAAAAAAAAAAAAAAAAAGGGAAAGATTACAGAAACTTTGAACAAAGATCCCGGACTCGGAAGGTGCCAGCTGGCTACGCTGAGCAGCAGATGATCAAACTCTTTGAGCTGTCTCTGTTTCTTTTGCCTCCCAAGAGCTTGAAACCAATGAACACCAAGTGCAGCTCCGAAGGATGACGTGATAAAGAGGATTCCTGAAATGAAAGCGTATCTACTAATATTATTAAAGAGATTTGCCTGCTTCACTTTCAGTATGACTTAGGATAAGTAGGGAAGCCTGTCTAAATTTAAACAGATGAGTCTCCATCTCCCTGCCTAATTCTTCAGTGTGTGCCTGAGCAAAGATGGAGATACTGGCTGGGCTGTAGTGTTAGAAAGAAAAAGATGGAGGAAGATGACAACAGGATTTTGGGGTATGTACTTTGGATATATAGTTCAAGTGCAAGCAAAGGAGTCAAAAATTACTTATATTACAGGAGGCAGTAATGGAATAATGGCAAAAATTGTATCTGCAGAAAGCGAGAAGAAAGATAAGGAGTTGAGTTAAGAGCACATCACACTCAAGTTTTCTGGAGAGAGAAGCAGGAGAAGCAGCAGCACCATATGGAGGCAACGAGGAGTAGGTGGATGGATAGACACGCTTAGCAGGCATCGCTCTGCAGCTGCTGGCGGAGATGGTGCGAACAGATGACATCATCCCAGAGGGTAGGGAGGGAAGAGTGGGCACGAAGAAAGAGCCCTGTGCAGACACCCAGCCGAGACAGGGGAATGTGCCGCTCTTGTACCTGTTTCCATATCAGCACATTCGGCATGATGCCGGGAGAGAATAGATGCAGAGAGGCAGGAGGAGAAGCAGAAGAGAGCAGAGGTGTGTGCGTATAAACAGGTGCTGGGGCCACAGGGGTCAAGGGATCTGCACCTGCCATAGCATCCACCCCTATGTAGTGCTTCTCAATTGAATTCATCATCTTCTACCAGAGTATGGTTTTCTGCTTTGCTGAGAGCAGTAAGCCCCAAAATTTGAAAGCTGTAGCGTATTTCTTGGTCCTCTTCATCTTTTATCTACTGTCTTTCTGTGCACAGAAAGTGATGTCCTGCCACTGAGTGTTACGGCATAACGCTAGGTCACTGGGACCTCTGCAGGTCTCAGCTCTGCTGGTGACCTTCCAAGATCATCTCTAATGCTGCTTCTTGCAGCACAGTTTTCAAAAGAAGCTTCATTTGTTAAAAAGATCCCTTACATTTGCAATGTCTAACAGCTGTA